TCTACTTCTATGTCCTGTAATGATGCTAATTATATTCTTTTGTATCTTAAAAATTTTTATACTATGTGAAGAGGTCCCCCAGAATATTAATCCATAGTTCATAATAGAATGAAAGTAGGCACGGTAAACCATCTTCAGTGTTTCCTGTGGCATAAAGGGCTTAATTATCTCACTGCATAGCAAGCTGCACTTAATTTAGGTATAGTTTGTTCTACGAGTATATGTATTTTCCAAGACAGTGTACTGTCTACATGTATTCCAATGAATTTTGTATCAGGTGCTTTACACATTAATTTGCTGGCATAACTGATGACCAGATCAATTTGGTGGCTGTTTTTAGTTAAGAATGGTATGTAATGGGTTTTGTCAAAATTTTGTGAGAGTTTATTGGCTTCGAACCATCTATTTAAAGCTTCAAATAAAAATTTATATAATTTTTAAAGTCTTCAATTTTAGAGTTCTTGAATATTATACTAGTGTCATCTGCAAATAGAACTGGTTTAGATTTATTATTGATGGTTTTTGATAGATCATTTATGTAGAGGAGAAAAAGCAAGGGGCCTAAAATTGATCCCTGTGGAACACCATGTTTTATGATTCACCAGTTTGAAAATGCATTAGAACTGGAATTTTTACCTTTTATCCCCACTCTTTGGCACCTATTTTTGAGGTATGATTTGATCCATTCATTAGCTTTGCCAGTTATTCCATAGAAATTTAATTTCGATAGTAAGATATCATGATTTACACAATCAAAAGCTTTTGCTAAATCACAGAAAATCCCTCCCACTATTAATCTGTTATTGAGAGCATTTAAAATATCGTTGGTTAGTTCATAGGTTGCTTCTTCTGTGGTTTTGTCTTTCCTAAATCCAAACTGTTCGACTAACATGTTGTTAGAATTTGAGTGTTCAAGTAATCTGTTATATATAACTTTTTCAAAGACTTTTGAGAATGAAGTCAGTATAGATATTGGTCTATAGTTAGAAATGCATTTTCTCTCGCCTTTTTTAAAAAGTGGTTTCACTACAGCGTATTTTAAGCGTTGCGGAAAAATTCCTGATGATAAA